CATATACGTGGAATTAATTTCGATTATTCCTTTACACTTATCGCTATATCGATAAATAAGTTCAAAGTGACTTACTAATTTTCCCCGGAAAATACTTTTCAGTTTTTCTACTACACGTGATTCCAACTTCAAATCAGCGAACTTCAACATTTTCAAAACAAAAAAGGCGGAGCGAAGCGCGATCAAAACCACCATTTTCTTACCACGATCGGAACTTGTAGTTGATCAAACGATACGTACAAAACGACACCACCACCGGTAGGAGCAACATGCCAAGATATTTCATGCAACGGACCTGACAAATATCCGGCGGAGCGAAGCGTTTCATGTTTCACAGTTTTCCTTCCCTAACCTCATCGTTAGTAATCCCCTGCATTTCCTCCAGTTCGGCCAACTTCGCGTCTTTCGACCTCGTCATTTTAACAAGCTTCCAGCCAGAAAACACAATTCGTATCGCCTGAAAAAATGTCGCGCGCCACAAAATTACCCAAAAACCTTACCAGAAAATAGAGAACTATTCGCGACTCGTCTTGCTCCAAAACATACAAACATGAAATCAACGACATCACTGAAAAAACGTCTTCCCATTTTTTCCACTTTTCACGACTCACCCATATTCATCGCGATAGAGCCACGACTGAGCCCTTCAAAACTCGTCCTCTCCTTGAAAAATTTGAAGTCAGATTTCAAAGACAAGTACCTCGCAATAGACAGTGTTGGAATGTATTTCCCCTTTCCTCAGCTGAGTCCAGGTGTTTCCTCACTAATTATAGAAGTTTACATACAAATTCGGACAGAAATCAAGGAAATTTTTATTAATTCTCCTCAAAATTTCATTACAAATAACACCTACACATGTACTTGACTACGTCCACACCGGCGATAGACAATCCCCCCACTATTGCTGAATTTTTTACTCGAATAGAATATGTAAAAAGCTAACGCCATAGACAACCAGAAGTCTCCACGGACCACTCGAGCCGGATAGCAGCATTTTGAACGAATCGAGGTCGTATTCGTTAACCTGAATAAAAACAAACTCTGAGCGGAGCGAAGTTTTTTAATCAGCTCACTTTCATGACGTCTTCCATATGTTCAAAGCCATGCAGCAGCGACTGGCTCACCATCCAATACCCCATGCCAACTTTGTGGAACGAAATAGTTAACTCCGGAAGAGGCTCGGTCGATCCCACAAGAGGCACAGGTTCGAACCTCACAAGTGGTACTTTTAAAACCAAATACTTTCTTCCCATCAACTTACTCGTCCCTCGGAGTTGCATGCGTGTTCATAAAGATCGGCAACTGAGCAAAGCAACTATCCTTACCATAAAAACTGAATTTAGGGCGAGCGAAATTGAATCTGTTCAATTTTCACAATTCGTCGCTCGACTCGTTTTGATAAATTGTTATACTAAATCCACCACTCCTATTCCTCATCCACTCAACCATCAATAGAAAAAACATTCCGAAAAACGAGAGAAAAACTTCGCTCCGCTTAAACTTACATGAATTTTCCTCGAGTTCATATCGATCAAGTTGGCGAGCCCTTTCTGATAGAGCTTACGAGCGTCCATCGTGCGTGTCTCGACGATCAGACCAACCTCCATCTTCGTCGGTATCGACAGTCTCGCGACGGGCACGGGCTACACACCAGGCAAAATAGTCCAATCGGATAATCGGTGTATTAGCAACCCATAGATCCCCGGTTCAAACCAACCAAACAGAATTTCATAAACAATTTTCACACTTGTAAGATTCTACAGTATCATCATGAAAAAACCCAAACCACATTTCTCACGTAAAATCCAGAAATTCCAAGGGCCGTAGATACTCTCAATTTCGACAGGTTCATTTAAACGACCGAAATTCACAACCCTGATGTCAAAAACTTTTCCACAAAACCTAGTTGGTGTGATACACGGGATAAACCAATCCATCGATGGTTGCTTAACCGTGCCGTGTTGTCGGCGTTGGACTTCAAATTCCATAATCGAAATTTTCCAACACTCCACAAAAAAACAATCTCATAAAAACTAATATCCTACAGCTTTCTGAATCTCCCGAGCGTAAGTGCCATTGGTGAAGGCTTGCAATAGGTAGTGCCTTCCATCTCTTTCCTCGTGAGGAACCATATACGTTGACAACTCCATCGCCCTGTGGCCCAGGATGTTGCTCCCCTTCACAAAGAAAAAAATAAAGATCAGCGGAGAAATTAAGTTCAACTTACTTTACGGTGGCCCTTGGAATCAGCCTTTCGGAGCACCACATGCACATATAAAGATTCATTCCTTGCCCGAAATCGATCTGGCAACCACGCTCCGCTCAGTTTTACATCCTAAATTTCACCACAGAAAACTCCCATCGCTATCGTGACTGCAAAATTATTCGTTCTGATATGGCATACCTTAAAAGTTACTAACTTTGAAGTTGATTTTACGAGAAAATGTTATTTTTTGGGGGAAAAAATATTTTTTCCGGAAAAAAAATTCTCATTAAAATCACGACTTGTTCCCTAGAGTTTTATCCTCAAAAACCACAGTAAACTCCCTCGAGTTTAGTGACACCCATCCCAGCCACGAGAAATGAAATCCATACCACACCATCATCACTTCAATGAAAAACCCCCTGACCACGATCACCTTCCTATGAGAATCTTCACTCCAGTCATAAGTAACGTTATCAAACGTGGCGACTCTCGCCATAGACGTCCATGGGATGCCTTTAGCCGACCCTCGTTGGTTCGACAGGTACACGTCCATATCCAGCCGATAGCCCTAGCAAAATTAATTCAACATTAACCCATACCACTCCATCGTCACTTCAGGAACGAATGACTCCACCCCGTATTGAGCGTCTTGCTGCGGTTTCTCGAGAAGAGGTATCTCCGATAGAGAATAGAAGTTGTAACATATATGCCCGACGTAAGCAGCGAAAGCCACTCCGATGAGGTTACTGGCGACACCCATGTGACACGGGATAAAACTGAGCTCGAAAATAATAGACAGTTGATCGGAATTCATACCAACTTCTCCCGAATTCGTCCATAACACTTCGAGTTTGTTTCTACGAAAGCCAATACTATTTACTTCTATTTCTACTATCCATCACCAGTGGTGACACCAATGTCGTGTCACCATTCTGCAGAGAAAACATCCATTTCAAAGCTGAAGCATCCCTGACCAACACAACCACTTCAATGCCATTAAAAAGAATATTTTTATATGTCCTCCAAATATAAGTTTATTTTGACGTACCTCACCAGCAGCAAAACAGTGAAGTCTCATACGCCTTCCTGTACAGAATTACGGCAAGCCATAGCAGAATTGGTAAACACTGTCGTCATCCTAGACTATGTACAAATAACAACCTACTACTTACAAGGGAATAGGTAGTCCGACAATTTCGCTTTCCTTAGGGCCTGGACTTTACCTACAAACCACATCTTCACAAACCACATTAAATCTAATGCTACCATCTGCGCCACATAGGAATCTCTTCCCGCGTTCCTCATCATCATGATCATCATCATCATGTTTATAATAACAAGAACTCCCAAAGGGACACTCTTCACCAGCCGTTACAAACTTGCAGGGTATTCTCGCGAGTGCTTCTTTATACCCTCGAATAACCTCAGTCTTGTCAGGTCCGTCCGGCAGGTACACTTCCGATGGCGTAATAAGAAAACTTTCCACCCTGCACAGTGGACACAGCCGCAGATTAGTCCTATCTTGGGAGCCCTTCTGATCGCGCCATCTTCGAATGCATTCCAAACAGAAGGGATGGGAACAATTCTCCAGTAGTCCGAATCGCCTGCCCCTGGCAACGATATCTTCATCGCAGATGGCGCATACCCAATTTCTCCCAACCTAAGAATGATCATTGAAAACCCTCAAGAATTTCCTCGTTACCTCATTCGTATTATCTCCGTTATCCATAGACTGATAAAAATTATAATAATCGTAAACATATCGATTTTCAAAATGTCCTT